GAATTATGCAACTATCAGCATAATTGAGTTTTAGAACATTTCCATTGTACCAGGAAGATCCCTTGTATCGCAGCTAATACCTGATCGAGCCCCAGGCAGCCACAGGTCTCCTCTCTGTAGATCTGTGGTTTCTGGCCACTGCATGCCAATGGAGTGGTCTTCCTTGTGTGGGGTTCTTTGTGTTTGACTGAGGCTGTTTAGGAGGTGCACCCATGCTGGGGCATGCATTAGGTGTTCACGCCTTCCAGCACCCGTTTTCATCTTTTATCGTTTGTCCTCATTTCAAAGCGCTCGGAGATTTTTTTGTTGGTCTTAGTGACTGCCGGTTTGATTCCCACACAGCAACCCCACTGGGTTGAGCAGCTGCTCCAGCGGGTTCTCAGCTCCTCCCTTTTGGAAGCCGATTGCCAGACCTCCTCCAGGTGCCTTACAACCTGCCAACCTCTCTGCCAGAAGTTGAGTGCCCTTTGTGCCACCTGGGGACGCCTTATTTCCAATATGCCGTGTTATAAGAAGCCTTTGTGTCTCTGGTTGTTACATTTCCCTGATAAATTGACCCTTTTAACCTTAGGAAATGGCCTCATTTATTTCTCATAACAAGTGTTTGTCTTAATATCGACTTTATCTAACATTAGCATAGCCCTCTACATAAAACACAGACCAAAACCCACTGCTGTCAAGTTGACTCCAATTTACATCGACCCTTAATCAGGTTTCGGAGATAGTAAATCTTTATGGGTGCAGTTAGCCTCAGATTTCTTCCATGGGGTAGCTGGTGAGTGTGAACCACTGACCTCGTAGTTAATAGTTCAATGCTTAATTCTTCACTTGTATCTTTTCCCACCCACTTACTTTCAGCCTATCTGTGTCTGTATTGTACAGGATCGCACTTACAGACAAAAGATAGCTAGCTGTAGTAGCCTCTTTATTGTTAAATACATTTTTAAAGCTCTGCCTTGTATTTGCAACATCTCGTTTATTAATGCCTAATGCAATAATTATGTAGTTTGAGTTTGGGGCTATGATTTTATTCTTTGCTTTCTATGTATTCCCTTTTTCTTCTCTCTAGTTTTCTTTTTTTTTCTTCCCTAATCTTCCCTCCACCCTCCCGGTATCGCCACTTGTTCTAAGGGGTTCATCTGTCCTGGGTCCCTGTTTCTAGTTCCTATCTGTGCCAGTGTACATCCTCCGGTCCAGCCGCATTTGTAAGGTAGAATTGGGATCATGATAGTGGGGTG